CAGTAGTATTGGTGATGATTGCCTTTACTGGCTCATTAGTTGGAGTTACTGGATCAGTATGCTGAGGTAGATTACAAGCAGATGGGGCACTAGGAGTACTTCCATTACTGTTCATGTATGTAGCAGAGTACCTGCCTAGAATATTAATAGGATATTACTAATCTCTAATAATTATTACTGAATACTAACCCTTGTGTTCATGCCGGGCTAGTATTTCCAAAGAAATGGTATGTTAAGCAACCCAATTGGGATGGCACCATGATACTCTGTTCTTCTAAAATTTCCATTCTTCTAATTAGAGACAGTATATAACCTCTAAACAAAACAACATTAATTGTTTGTGATAATCAAGTAATATGTTATTAATGTTACTAAATTTGTACAGGTACTTGTAAAACAATTCACCTGTTTCTGTACTACATGCAGCTTGAGTTTTAAGCTCCACCAGTGCAAGTGGTGGTGGAAGTGGTGGAGGGCTATGACAAAGAATTCTTTCACTGGAATCTGCCTCTTTTCTCTCTGAAGGTTTTCTTGCTTCTAATAATAACAAGTAAAACAATAGTAATAATTATTATTATATTTAATCTTACCGATACTAATATGCTTAGAAGGATTTCCAGTGTTGAAGCTTGTTGCTTCATTATTTGCAGCAGATTCATTATTTGTAGCACAACCAACAGCAACAATATTAACTGTGCATTTCTGTTTTGTGTTTTTATAATAAATTACCTTTTTAATGCATTTTATTTTGTACCTTCACCTTTCTTTCCTTTTTCTATTTTAGGTTTCTTTATTCGGTGGTACCTACATGTAGATGTGAATTTACATGTAGGGTTAGTAATACTATATACCATCTCACTTTTCTAAGCTTTCCTTTTCATTGTGCCATGCTTTGTAGTCTGACTCATTCTTCATACTCTCAGCTGACTGTTTCTCCATATTCTTGGCTGACTCTTTCTCCAAATTCTCCGCTGACTCTTTCTCAATCTTCTCAATAATATCACCTGCTGCATTACTTACATCTTTCTTATCTCCTAGAAAATTATATGTGCAGCTATTGACTAAAAATTAAAGTAAAGTGTTACCAAAGGTGACTATTGTGCCATCATGAAAGTCCTTTCCATCCCTTACTCTGCAGGAGGTACCAGCTTCCAGCTGCTCAACTTCTACACAGTTTGCTTTCACAATAGAATAAGTATCGTCTTGCTTAAAGTATTTCAAAAAGTAAGAAGCTACATTTAAAATAGTAACAAGACTCCTAAACATGTCTTTAACTTACGATTTGTCTTCTTCTGGGTGTCTTTTATCAGCTTTCTAAGACTCATTTCTACTCGTTTCCACTGAGTTGTAACCGGGCTGGTGAAAATTAATGCGCATGCGCAGTATTGAGTAGCGCATGCGCAGCACATCAGTAGAGTAGAGTAGCACAGGAGTAAAGAAAGCAAAGCTGCCTGTTACTACTACCGTTTTGATTCGCATGAGCTGTGTAGGAAGAAAAGTGCAGTTCGTAGGAACTACTCTGCGCTACTTAGCTTTTTTTCTCTCTAAACTGTACCTACGCAACAGTAGAGTAGCTACTTATCTTTTTTCGCCCTGTACTGTATATAAATGAAAGCCTATTAGGGGCTCTCTCACATGCAGGATCATTGCCATATAACACTGCATTAGGATTAAATTTAAAACTGCACAGAATACATGTATGTATGTAGACAGAAATGATAAGAAGAAATGTAAAGACGAATACATTTTTGTAAAAAATGTCATAACTATTTACAAAAAATAAAACAATTAAGTTGACTCAATACATTTAACCTTATGTTTCAGTTCTTTGTTAATGGGAATGTTTAACGTTTCTAACACTTAAAGAACAGTGGTTATGTAATCAAATATGAGACAGAATTGCAAATACATTATTTTAATAGCCATCAAGTCTCTGGTATCAACAAAAAGCTGTTTCTGAACGAAAAGACATCACCAGTTCATCAGGTGAATTTT